CCAGCCTCAGCACCCAGGCGCCGCCGCCCGGGCCGGCCCTCAGCCGCGCCGACACCGTCATGAGCTTCGTCAACCTGGGTGAGCCCCTGCTGCCTCCCTCCCTCCTGCCCTGCCCTGCCCTGGGAGCCACTGCCGGGATGGACTCCCCCACCCCACCCCTTCTCCCGCCGCCTCCGCCTGCACCGGGGCACACGGGCGCTCTCCCACCTCTACTGCGCCCGCACCCCTTCTCCCTCCACCTGCGCCTGCACCGGGGGCACGTGGGTGCTCTCCTGCACCTGGGCAGGATGTGGCGGGGGCTGGGGGTAGCAGGTGGTGACAGGGGCTGGGGGTTTAGCCATCCGTACATTGCCCAGCCCCTTAAAGCAAGCTCTTGAAGCAGGAGGGGGTAGATTGTTGTCCGTCAGCAGGAGTCGGGTGCGGGCGGCTGAGCTGACCCTGCCCAGCCTTTCCTCTGCCCCTCGCGGCAGCTGACTGGGGAGGTTTGAGAGCATCGGGCGTTTGGAGGGAGGGGAGCGGTAGCAGGGTGCGTTGGGGACCTGGCCCCGCAAGCAGCACCTGCGGGGGAGGAAGGTGCTGACTATTTGCTGGGATTGCTCTGGGGCGACCTGCCATGTGCGCCGTAGCAGTTCAGGGGCCATGAGAGAGTCTCAAATACCTGGCACAGGCAGTAGCCTGGGCTAACGGAGAGTGCCGCCTCCTCAGAGACCACCGCTCCACGCGAGCCTCTGACAACAGCCTGCCCTGTCCCCAAGCCAGATCTTCGCTAGAACCGAAGCCTCACTGCTAAATTTAACTGGGACGTAAACCTCACAAACCAAACCTCGTTACTAACTCCGACCTCGCCACTTTGTTGTGGGGCTGTGCAAAACACTGCCTATTTATAGGTCTTCTAGCTCGAGCATCCTTTGTCCAGATGTAGTCTCCTGCGGCAGCCTGGCTAAGAAAAGCCTTTTCAGAGGCTGGATTGTACTGAAAAGTAGCTGTCCCGTATTTAGCAGGCAGTCGGGCTTCATAAAGAGATTTGCGGTTGGACGTGGGAGAGACAACGGCAAGTGTTCAAAACTCCCTTTCGCTTCCTGGAAGTATCGTGGCAGCCCCAGAAAACAGATCTGCTGCCCTCGCTCTCATCAGGGTGCTTGTTGAGAGCAGCAAAGACAGGAGGAGACACGGCCGCAGAAAGCACTGGCACGCTGCTGGCTGTGCCCCTGCTAGGACGGCCCAGGGTCGGTTTATCCAGGCCTGTCTCTCCTGCCACCGCAAGCCCTGGATCTTCCATGAGAGCGTGCTTCCCACCTTGGCATGCAGGTGCGAGCTTCCCCAAAGGCACAGGCAGGCATCGACCGCCCCAGAAAGCCAATTTCTTGCAGAAATATCAGGTACTAAATGGCATGAATTTATACCCCCGCGGTCCTCCAGAAAACAGGATGGAGAGAACTGGGCCATGTCAGGCAGGACTGTGGCACACTACAGGGCTTCTCTGAGCTGGCTTACAATCAAGCAGGGCATTAAAAAAGATGCTTGTGGAGGAAAACTCCCTAGACTTTACATGACAGGGAAGTTGGAGCCTTGTTTGTGCCCTACATGACACACAATGGCACAGGACCCTGCTTCTGTACAGGGCCTGAGGATCAAACCTTCTCCTTGCCAGCTACTTCTACTACTAATTCACTCTTATCAGCGCCGACTTAAAAGCAGAGCACCACCCAGAGCCCTGACACGAGCAGGCGCCGCTCCAACTGGAGTCAGTGGTGAGCAGCGTTGCCTACCCCTGAAGGCTCGTTTGAATCTGGGGAGTTTTCCAACCATTCAGCAGACGTGTAGGGCTGTGCTGGGGGACGGATGCTGCTGGAACAGAGCGTGCAGGGGAAAATCTGTGCTCTTCTCCGTCAGCAGCTGGGTGGAACGAGTTCCCGACACTGGAATCGAGATTCAAGAGACGCTGCAGGTTGCTAAACGCTTGCAGGAATCCAGTTAGGCTGGTTACTGCCTGCACCATTTAAACACGCTAGTGACATTTCAGGGAGGCTATCTAACAAGTATCTCTCTTCCTCATGGATAATGTACCCAAGTGGCTGTGAAAAGCCCGGCAGAGCCAGTTAGGATGCAAAGGGCTTGTTTGGAAGGATGAGCAATGGAGCTGGAAAAGAAACGTTAACATCACAGAGCTTGCTCTCTTTCTGGACAGATAGGCAATGTCTCCTTGCCTCTGGTGTAAGCCACCTCTCCTCTTTAAGAAGTGCTAAGGCAGGCTGGTTGGACTGCAGCTTCAAAAGGCTTTTATGTAGGAAGCTTCAGTCCAAAGTTTTGAGGGACAAAGGCAAGGGAGAGCCAGGGAGTGGTGACAAACTCTGGCCAAGGATAGGTAGAGAGTGGTCCCCAGCTCCAAATCAGTTAATCTGTGGATGGTTTGTCCTGCTGATCTCAAGGATGGCTGGAATTACCTGGCTTGTAGGTGCTTCATGAGCAGGACAGGTTCGGGCCTTTGGATGCATCAAACACCATTTAATAGGGGGATACAGATGCCCCATGAAAGGGGCTCTCTGCGGGCTCCTTTCCTGCTCCTGCATAACCCAAAACATACTGCACAGCCCCAGGCCTGGAAATGGTGCTGAAGTTGGTGCTAGAAAAGTCCTGGAGTTAACAACGGCAGGAGGGTGTGGGGAGTTGAACAGGAGTGGAAGGTGGCCCAGGGCTCCCTGTCCTTTTCTCTGCCACAGGCATCCTGCTTGCCCTCAGGCAAGTCATCAAGTCTCCATGCTCATCAGGGCATAACACAAAATGTGCTCAGAGGCTACAGTAATGAGGCAGTCCCTACACACAGGTTGTAGAGATGGGGTGGGGGGTCTCTACCCGTTTCCTGCTTGGTCTGTCAGACCACCAGGGCCTGCAGTGATACATGCGTCAAGACCATACAAAGCTGTTAGGGGCTCGCCTGGGCAGACCAGGAGGTCTTCAATGTTCAGATGGGTCCATACGATTACCTGGCTGGGGTCACGTGACCCCAGCACACTTTCCTGCCCGGGGCAGGGGGTCAGACTCGGATGATCTACTGAGGTCCCTTCCGACCCTAAAAAAAAAAAAATCTATGAAATCTCTTATTCTAAGAGCTGTTGTTTGGCAGGGCAGGGCAGGGGGCTGGGTTTGGTAATGGGAGGTGTCTCAATGGCTGTAAATCTTTATGATGTACACTGCTGAATAAAGGCAGGATGACAGCCAGAGACAAAGGGAAGAATGGTGACAGCACCACAGCACACAGGTCACTCAGGCACAGGGTAAAACAGAGACCCTTTC